TGAAAATATATATTTCAATATCTATATCTAAAAAATATATATTATGAAATATGTCAGATATATATTTCCAGAAAATATATATTCCAATATATTGTATGTATATTTTTGTTTATATATATATATATATATGTATATATATTTCTAAAATACATATTTCAATTTTAAATATATTTCCAGAAAACTAGGTGGCCATGGGGGCATGGATGAACTTAGAGCCGAAACCGACCCAACCCGATTCAAACCGACCAGGTCGGTTTTGCTTAATAATGGGTCGGTTTCGGTTTCCATCTCAGGTAACCCGACCAGGTCGGGTCGGTTGGAAAAACCTCAGTAAACCAACCCAACCCGACCTGTGAACAGCCCTAGTTTGAAGAGCAAAAACTGGATTGACTGATTTGAAGAACTCATTAATGGCAACAGTGAAGAAATAGATCAATCTCGAATTAGAGTAGGGGCGGATTGCAAAAAATAAAAATCTTATTGTAGTCAGTTAAAAGAAAAAAGAAGGAAGAAGGAGAGGAAGAGTAAGCAGGGAAGAAGAAGATCTTGCATTAGAGGAGATCCCAGATCCCAGATCAAAGCATGTGCGGTTGATTTGGAAGGAGGAGGGAAAGAACCGAAGAAGAATGGGCGCTTCTTCCTCTAGTCGATTAGGGTCGGAAGCGACGGGGTATTTTTGTCATAAAAAGATAATAAAAAAGCTTAAACCAAAATGGGAATGGCATTCCTTGGGGTGGGGTCGGGAATGGGCATTCCCCCATATGGGGGAATCCCATTCTGCCTAAAATGGGAATGGGATTCCCTTTCTGTTTGACCAAACATCCAGAATGAGAATGAATCATTTTGATTCCGATTTCAGACTCCTATTCCCTCGAACCAAACAGACCCTTAGTTCTGAATTTTGATGTGATGGATTTTATTTAGTTTTGGAAACCCCCTACGGTTGTAATGGATAGAATTGTGTGGCCACCAATGTGAAATTATGGTTCTATAAGAATGGGTAGTTTTAGTTGTTGCTTTTGGTTTATCTTTTTATAAATTTAGTTGTTTCATTGATGGAAGAAATTAGATCAAAGGACTAGGGGGCTATTTGGCAAATCTTTTCAGGAACATCTTATGGTTGTTTTGACAGTCAAAAGATGCATTGAGCTTTTGCATTAAGATTGATCAACTTAAAGCCCATTTGGTGAAGGCATGTCTTTCTGCATGAGGATGAATAGAAAAAAAATGCAAAAGCTCCATTTAGAGCCAATGTTCAAAGTATTGACACGTACCGGCCGATATGTATCATTCCGGGACCCCACCGATACGTCCCTATAGTGGGTGTATTGGAGGTCTGATCGGTTTAGAAGGTAGAAGAGACCTAAACTGCCCCCCCGAACCGGTTGCGAAAAAAAAGCAACCAAAATGTGTATTGATTCACCTGATACGCCTTTACCGGTGTATTGATATTTTGAACCTTGTTTGGAGCTTCATAAAAATTGCCAATTTTGGGCTTCTCATGTCTTTTTGGCACGCTGGCTTTTGGTAGCTAGAGTTATCGTGAACCAAACAGGAAAATACCAAATCGTGGTCTGCTGGGTTTGTAAATAACCAACAGACTGCATGGAAAAATACGCCAAACGGGCCCAAATTAACCACTACTTCTATTTGGGTATATCTTTCTATTGCTTTATTCCAAACTTCATAGTCCAATATAGCAAAATTTGAGCTTTCTATAAGCTTTGTTAATATATTTATTTGATAAGTGTTCTGAAGGTTAAGAATAAGGAAATTATGACTCAAAGAAGCTCCTGCACCATCATCTAAGAACAAATACGTGGAAGCTAGGACTCTTTCTTCCGCATCAAGATTCCTAATCTCAAAAGTTGTAATTTTGGAAGATGAATTGTTTTGTTTTGGCAAGATCTAGGTAGTTGTCATCACGTGCAATAGTGTTCTATTTTTCTTTTATTATGAATTATTTTTACTAATATATGTAATTTTAAATTTAGATGGTTGCATCTTTTCTCCTTTTTGTAATCCATTCAATTTCATATAAATTAATCAAAAACCTGCAGGATGCTTTTTGCCATGCACTAAGTTTTTGATAGGGCTGCAAGTTGGGTCGGGTTGAGGCCAACCCTAGTTCAATCCTAACTTCTAAATCCCCTAGTTCGAACCCTAACCCAACCTACCCAATTCTAACTTTAACCTTAACTAAATTCCTTCAACCTTAACCCTAACCCAACCCAACCCAAAGTTAATTTCGGGTTGGGCCCAACCCGACCTTTTTCTCATCCCTTAAAATCTCATAGAACTTCTTAATCTTATATCTTAACTCAACTTTCATTACATATATTATCCTATAATTGTTTATTGATGTTTTTATTGGTTCTTTAAGTACAAAATTCAGAAAAAAAAGTGTTTGAAATGACTATAGTTATGACTTATAAAAGATCTTTTATGGGTAGCAAGCTATGGGTGGCAAACAAAAGAGAGGAGACAAAGAATAAAATATCCAAAAAACACAAAATATGTTATCAAGGTTTTAGTATTTTCAATTAGGATTAAGTGAAGTAGTTATCTTAAATGAAATAAATGCATCTAAACAAATCAATGTATGATAATCATATATATGTATATATATATGTGTGTATATATATATATATATAGGTTGGGTCGGGTTGCCCGAGGGGTCAACCTCGAAGTAAATCGGGTTCATAAATTTCAACCCTAACCCAAGCATCAACCCGACCAAATCCAACCTGACTTTTTTCGAGTTGGGTTAGGATTAGGTTCGGGCTAACCCGGCCCAAGTTGCAACCTTAGTTTTTGAGCAACCCCTATAGGCCACATATCAAAAGTAAAGGCCTCTTTGTTTTTTGTTTTTTGTTTTGTTTTTTTTTTCACATTTGCTCGAATTGTGTATTAGGAACCATTCCAATTAAGATTTTAATTCTGAATCTGATTCCTTCTATCAACCAAACGGACCCTACTTTATGAATTTAGTAAATATAATAACACTAGGGAAAATCTATATATGATGCGGAAAAGATATGGTATAGGAAGAGTTTTGACTAATCAAAACCCACCCATGAATTTTGATAAATAACATCTGATTGACTACCATGTTTATGATTCCAATTGAGTGGTCAGAAGTTTTTCATATATCATATATTTTCCATATCATAGTCGAACCTGATAACACTATTAATATCAATGCATGTATTTAACTTTTAATTGACGTTTCATTTTATCCTTCACTCCTGTGTTGAGCACAGGCTACTTGTATAAGTTAGGTTGGAACTCTGAAAGGGGAGTTGTATTAGGCAGTTTGGCAGGGTCATTTGCATCAGTGTCCAAGTGTCTGTTGCACCAACTCCCGCGGTCTAAATTTGCCACATCATGTTCCAAAATGTTTAAAATGTAAGATCAAATCAGCCCCCCACAATGTCCCACAACACATCACCGTTGTGTATTGGGAACATTTGATGATAATACCAGAAATGATGATGTCATCATCAAGAGATGTTCCCAATACATGGCGGGAATGTGCTGTGGGACGTTGTGGGGGGCTGATTTGAACTCTTAAGACATCGGTGTAATATAACTTGATACAAGCAACAAGATCAAATCAGCCCCCACAAGATTGCCCCCCACAACGTCCGACAACACATCTCTGCCGTGTATTGGAAACATCTCCTGATTATAATATCAGAAATGATGATGTCATCATCAGGAGATGTTCCCAATACACAAATGTTGTGGGGAACAATCTTGTGGGGGGCTGATTTGAAATCACAAGCAACAAGCAGTATTATATTGGTTTCCACTTTTCACAGAGGTTGTTGACACGTGACACAAGTGGGATGGGTTGGTGCAAATCATTCCTATGTGTCCGACTCCAGATCTCTTGCCCACAAGAATTCTCAATGTGCATAATAACATGAAAGAGGATGAGATATTTGTGATGATATGTGGTTAAGTGTGGATAGAATTGTCATGAACAGGAAATCCAAGCTTTGTGTGTCCATGGAAATCATGTGGGTAGAATTACTTTTTTTTTTTCAAAATCAAAATTGATCATGTCTAACACCCCCTAACATTTCCACTTTTTTTTTTCTCACTCAAAGTGTTCCATTTTCACATTTACATTAACCATTTTCAAAAAGTCATACTGATTAACTAGCATATTATTATTATTATTTGATTTTTTTAAAAAAACATTGATTTGGTGACACTACAACTCTTTTAAAACCAATTTGAATTTAGTTTTCAAGGGTACCATGTGTTTGGTAGAACTGTTTATTAAATAAATGTTTGTATTTAATTTATCATCAAAACTGAAAAAAAGTTGTTGATAAACATTTTTATGAGATTTATTAACAATTAAATGCCACTAAGTGCCATTAAGCGCCGCACTAACAAAACAGTAAATAAATGTTTTTGTTTTGAGAAAACGTTAAAATGATACTTTCCCAACGATTGATTTACATGTAAATTAAAACAAAAATTTACTAATAAATATAAATACAAAATAACGTGATAAAATAAATATTAATTTAGCAATGACACGGCACCGTTTATCCAGAAACTGAACGATACCAAACACAACTCTGCAAGAGTCGCGAGCTAATAAGCCTAATGTCAGTCAATATATTTTAGGCGTTAGTTTGGTATATATATATCATATCTTTTCTTATCATAGTTGAACCCATATATATATATATATATATATATATATATATATATATATATATATATATTATATAATGAATTGGGTATGCTTTTCGCANTATATATATATATATATATATATATATATATATATATATATATTTGCAGGCGTTGGTTGCTCACTTGCTCCTACTCCAGAGCTCAGGATTCAGACAACTGACTGGTAAGCCTGAGATGCCTACACAGGATCGCTTCCTTCACGCTTGTTTTCCCGCCATTTTTTTTTTTGCTTTAATTCTCTAGGGTTTCGATTGGGGTTGAACTTTGAAGTTACACCTGTCTTCTCTTCAACCACAATTGGCCTTTAGATTTGGGGATTATAGAAATTTTTGTACCTCGCGCTATGGATATAGGGTTTTCTGTAGTTCTATTTTGTTAGTTTTGACTTTTGAGGGGTGGTAATTATTTCATTTGATGAGTTTTCTCTTTGAGAATCAACTTCAATTAACTTAGGGATCTCTGTGCAGAAATAGTCGGCAGGATCTGAGCAATGAATCCGCTGACGTTAGTGAAGCGTATACAGAACATTAATTCAAAGGAAGCAGCGCTAGGAATTTCTGAAGATGCTTCGTGGCACACGAAATACAAGGAGTCGGCCTATGTATTTGTTGGCGGCATTCCTTTCGATCTTACGGAGGGGGACCTTCTTGCGGTTTTTGCACAGTAAGTCCAGTTCAGTGCAGTTTTTATGTTTCGACCTGATATTGATAATGCATTTTGTTCTAAGATTTGAAAGGTTTATTAACTGAAAAGATTTCATGAAAGAAATTAATAGTTTCGTCATTGTTGGCATTGCCATTTCCAATATTACATTTGCAGCTGTTGTAGTCTTTAACAGTACTTTAGGGACCGTGGCATCTCATTCTATTGTGCAAATGAGTCATCTGATTTTTTGGTATTCATATTGTTCTAAGCGTGAAAAGAGTTGAATTGGAGTCTTATAAAGTTCATCTTACTTAATGATCAAAAAATTGAAGCTCATCTTGATGTGCTTTTAGCACATTTATATTTGACGTGTAGCCTAACCAATTTAGCAACTTAGGATTTGGCGTGTTATGATTGAACAAATAACTCGGTTTAGTTTACTTTAGTTGGAGTGTTCACTTGAGTCATGTTTTACGTTTGGCTTTGTTTGCTTCGCATCCTGCCTGACTTGCACCTGTTCTTGACCTTGTTTGCAATCAACTATGCTTTTGTTTATCCTATGTTGCCATATCTTACTTGGTTGTAAAGCCAGTCTTTCCATATCTGTAACAAGAATATGATTGTATTTCACTATTTCAGTTTGAGCCTTGCTTACACCTTCCAATTGAATAATTTCCAGGTATGGGGAGATTGTTGATGTTAACCTTGTTAGAGACAAGGGTACTGGTAAATCTAAAGGATTTGCCTTTATTGCATATGAGGATCAGAGAAGCACAAATCTTGCAGTAGGTTGGTTATCTTCTGACATCTTTTTTCTCTATTTGGAATAGAAACCTATTTCTTTTCTTCTAAATAATGGCAAAACGGAACCAGTTTATTCTTAAACCAACAATCAGAGGTTTTCTTCTCACTCGAATTCTATTTCCTTTACAAGGTTTCAGGTGTAAAAGCATTCATTTTTTCAATGCATTTCAGATAATTTAAATGGAGCCCAAATTCTTGGTCGTATTATAAGGGTTGATCATGCCAGTAACTACAAGAAGAAAGAAGAAGAGGATGAGGAGAAAGAGCAACAGAAGAGGGAGGCAAGAGGTGTATGCCGTGCTTTCCAAAGAGGTGAATGTAACCGTGGAGCTGCTTGCAAATTTTCCCATAACGAGCAAGTAAGATCAATATTCTTGTTTGTTAGTTTATTGGAGGACTTTAGACGTTACATCTAAAGTAACTTTTGAACAGGTTATTCACATTATTCCATGATGTCCATTCAGGATAAAATTATAAAAGTTGCATTCCCATCTTTTAAAAATCATCTGAATAAATGACTGTGGTTGTCCTTTATCATACTTAGTTCATTAGTTGGGCAGATTAATTGGGGTGAGGGGACATTACAAGGAGTTCAAGTGCCAACATGTATAAACCACTATTTTTAGAATTGATTTTTAAATTATTTTGCTAGGATTAGTGTTTTCAAAAACAGTTATACAAGTAACCTATGGATTGTTTATTTCCTGCTTTGATTGGACTGTCTTGTCAGACAAACACAAGTATGAACTTTGGCACTTTATAACACTATGAAAATCTAGAAATGCTTTTCATTTATCTCTATGGGACCCATTACTGGGTAGTTCCTGACCCTATGACTTATGATGCTTACTATATCATTTCTATAAAACACAAAATTTGTGGAAAAAGATTTAAAAATGCTTTTCATTTGTCTCTTCACGCCTAATTGCATTGTCCTAACCCTTATCTTTTGGCTATAAGGTGCTGGCGTGCTGCTTCTGTCATACCTTTAATTATGGTACTAGTTGGTCCCTGCATCTTACCTAGAGCAGGACGTTAAAAGCAAGAAGCTCAACCAAAGCACAAGGTATTCTAGAGCAAGTACACCTGAACAACCTGAGGCACCACTTTTGAAAACAAAATCCAAAAGAAAAAAAAAACTTAATATACAAGTATATGCAAATCTAGATTCTGGAAGAAATAAAATATTTCAAAAGTCCTATAGGTCCAGTTGGTTAGAGCATCATCATATTTACAGAAAGGTTATAATGTTGCATGCTCAAGTCTTATATAGGTTAACTGTTTAAACTCTAAACATCATAGGTATAACCTAATATACAAGTTACCTATTCAACAGTAAGTTCAAGGTTAATACATGAAAGTATAATAATAAGCTAAGGGATATGCACCTGGATTCAGGCAAAGTGCACCTCTTAAAAAACTGAACCAGAGAGGAATATGAAATCATTCATAAAGTGTGGAGTGGAGATTGGTGAAAGGGAGTAATATTGAGGTCATGGGTATAACCTATTTAAGTCAGGTAAGGTTGTTAGTAGTTAGAGGGTGGGGCCTTGGTGCAACGGTTGGGTTGCTCCATTGCAACCTGGGTGACCAAGGTTCAAATCTTGGAAACAGCCTCTGTATGAGCCAGGGGTAAGGCAGCATTCATCTGTCCCTCCCCAAACCCCGCAGTGGCGGGAGCCTCGTGCACTGGGCTGCCCTTCTGATAAATTGATTGTATTTGTGCCCTGAGGATGGAGATACCATTTATTCCTTGGTACCGATTTGCACCTTCTCAAGAATGGTGTTCTGTCACTTCCTTTTTCAATTCTCAGTTTGCTGTCTTGAGACTTGAGTCCAACTGAAGAATATAAAAGAAGTGTGATGTAATTGTCAGTGCAAGTCAAGGTTTAAAATGTTGACATGTCTTAATATTTCCATGTCCATTTTCATGGGTACCAACACAAAGTATTACTGGAATTGACATTCCCTTATGAAAAGTTCCACCACTATGAGTACACGAGATGGTGTTGTAATGTGGTGAGTTAGCATTAATATTGAAAATATGTGGAGCAGTAGTATAATTGCCAGCCTAACGGAGGTGATTAGCACTTTGAACTAGCTTGAAATTAGTTTTTGATCTGATATTGAATCTTAGCTTTTTGTTTATGGAAAATATTATTTGGTTAACCTATGAGTCATTTGTACATTATGTGAGTTTAGGTTTTGCTTTAATTTAACCTATTATTTGGTTAACTCCCACCCTAGACCAAAGTATTATTTGGTGCTGCCTATGGTCTGACATGACGGACTGCAGGCCATGCCAGGCCTGGGGTTTCAGGTCCATGGGCCGGCACGGCATGGCACGACCAAACAGGCCGTGCCGCCCGTGGCCCGCGTGCTGGCCCAACCTGTGGCATGACCCATATATATAATATATAATATGTATATATACAAAATTTTATTATATTATTTCATTTTATTATTGCATATATAAACAATTGTATACATCAAAATTCATATAAAATAAAATTTTAAGATCCTTTTAATTTTTTGTCTATTTAAAATTTTTCATTATTTTTTTCACAATTTTTAAAAAACATGGCTTGGCTCGGTCAACAGCCCGGTTTGGCTCAAGGCTCGGCTTGTGGAATGGCACTGGTCCACGTGGGCTCAGGCCGTGGGCCGTGCAGGGCCGACCCCCAAAGTAGTCCAGGGGAGGGAAGCATAGCTTGGCTTGGCCTGCCAGCCTGGCTTGTGGCATGACCCATATATATATTAAATATAATATGTATATATATATATATAATTTTATTATATTATTTCATTATAAGCAATTGTATACATCAAAATTCATATAAAATAAAATTTTAAGATCTTATTTAATTTTTTGTCTATTTTAAAATTTTCATTTTTTTCAAAATTTTTAAAAAACATGGCTTGGATCGGTCCACGGCCCGGTTTGGCTCAAGGCTCGACATGCAGAATGGCACGGGCCCGAACGGCCTTAGGCCGTGGGCCGTGCTGGGCCAACCCCCCAAAGTATTCTAGGGGAGAGAAGTACGGCCTGGCTCGACTTGCGGGCCGACACGACATGGCCCGATTTACACCTCTGGGAGCCTCATGCATTGGGGCTGCCCCTTTTGCTCTATTATTCAACCCATAAAGCTTCTATAGGACATGTTTGCAGTGTATTAGTTTGTCTCTTAACATTAGTTTCATGGTTTTGTTTGATGGTTAAAACAGAATAATAATCTAAAAGGGTGCATTTATGTTTCCTTTATCATTTCATATATTATTTTATGTTTTCACATATTTCACAATGTTTCCACCATTTTAATAATTTTTTACAATATTTTCATCCTTACATTTCTATCATATTTTATATATTTGGATGACTGTTATTTCCACTGATATCAGCATTTTAAACATTGGTGTAAGTGGCCTTATCAAGGCAGGGAATCTTGGAAACTTCTCCCTTTTTTCTATGGACCAATATTGAAAAGAAATGCTCCAAAAGAGCCTTTGAAAACAGAGGTGTACCACTGTCTCAGTTGGTAAAGTTTCCTGCTGGTTGTTGCAGATACTGGGATCAAATCTCACCTTCATCATTGTTTTTTGGTGGCTGTGGACAGAACTACCCCTGTTGTTTAGCCCATCTTTCTAAGCAAGAAGAAGAGCTTTTGAAAATGAGTTAACATCAAGTGTGGCAATTTCCAAGGGATTATGAACCAACCTATTTCCCTTTTATTCTCTATCTCTTGTACAGATCTCGGAAGAGTTCCATGTTGTTCTTTTTGAAATGCCACAAGTTATGCCAATCTTAAGTTTTTCTATTGTTGTTTAGATAAGTAGTGATAAATAAGGAAAAGAAAAGAACTATATATATATATATATATATATACATGACATATATGCCACATCATCACGGTTTGACCATGGTCAAACCTACAAAATACATATTAACCATTGGTATTTTTGCATATTTGTAAATTTTGTAGGTAAAGTTCTAAATCTACCCAACTGGAACATGATCAGGTTGGTTAGGGTTACTATTAACCTAAGTCAACCTGGCCTTTGTTGTACCAATGGTTAATATGATGCTTAGTTCATCAAGAAAGTGATATAAAAAAACTAGGTAAGCAATTGATGGAGAATATAAGAAGGTAGCTAGCTGCATCATATACTGCAGTTGGCCACCAAATCATTGATCTAGAGAGCTCAACTGGAGGGTTAACTCTGAATGACAGAATAGAAAAGGCAAAAGAGAAAAAAAATTCAAACAAAGAACCCTTGTAATCAGTCAGTTAAAACTTGGGCTAATAGCCATGGTAAACATATCAAAATGCCTTCCGGAAATTAAAGAGGGGAAGATTAATGATTAAGCTAGCAATAAAGAATATTCATTTTAGGCAACCTTAATATGTGTTACACTTAGCTGCTGAGGAATTTGCCCTTATTCATTTGATATTTATCTTGGTTGTTCATCTTCATCTGTTTGTGACTTTGTGCAAGGCAATTAAAGATTGAAATTTGAAATACAGGTGCTGATGTTTGCTTTATTCCTTAAAGTGCTCATCCATGCTTTTGTCTTCTCCAAACCCAGAGATGTGCAAATACAGGTGGGGGTCCAGAGGACAGCCATTCAAGATGGGATCATGATAAGTATGATGGATCATCTAGGAGCCATGGAAGATATGGTAACATCTCCTCAAGTCGTATCCCAGAATCTAAAGTTCAGGAAGGTGGCTCAAGGTCTAGGTTGTATGGAGATGGTGCCAGAGCATCCAGAGCAGAAGATGATGAAAGGGAGATGAAGAGCCACTCTAAGCGAAGCGCAACAAGTCCAGGTGAGCAAGATAAGCAAGGACTCGAGAAACAATCAGAAAGGAAAGAGGAGAGAAGGCACAGAGAACATCATGATAAACGAGAAACTGAAAGAGCGTTGGGAAGGTGCGAAGCTGAAACAAAGCCAAGCAAGGATCATGATAGGAGAAGGGAAGAGAGGTCAGGAAGACATGAGTTGGAACGAAATCCAAGGGAAGAAGATCGAGATCGAAGAGGAGATGGAAAACGATCCAGGTACGAGAGGGACTCTTATTCCCATCATCATAGAGAGGACGACAAAGAACATCACAGGAGTTCACATAGGTAAGTAGTCTTCTAACGGTTGATGGAGGAGCTTATGTTAATTTCTGTCATGGTTTATTATCAGAGGTGAATAACTGAAACTATTTATAATTTTCTTTTTGATCTCCCATGTATGTGAATTTTAGAAGCAAATAGTTAGATTCACAGATTCCTTCTGTTACAGATTCTGTTCATTAGAGTTGGATCCTATGTGAAGCATATGATTTGACTCCATTGTTAGACAATATTAAAAGTCGCTTTCTGCCGAGTATGATAAACTTTTGTTGGTCCAGATGCTTCCATGTCGACACCATTGGTGCAGCTTGGGCAAATTGTGGAAACCAAGTCTGGTTTAAACCAACAGTCCCAAGGAACACAAGATTCAGGAAATCCTGATTCTTAAGATATCAATACTTTATTGGTAGTTTTACATGTATGATTGTTAAAGCGTTAACCGCTTTACTTAGTGCTTGTTGGGGCGATAGAATGGTACAAGACAGCATTTGTATCTCTTTGACCCAAAAACGAATACAGCTGTCGGACGTGGACATAACCTTAGTAGGTGTTTGGCATCAATGCTGTTCCTTCAGATATGTTTTCGGAGAAAACGGTGTTGTATGCATGAGGGTCTGTTGCACCATTTTCTCAGAAAACGGCTCCTTTTTTTTTTGTTTGGCATCAATGCTGCCACATAGGCTTTTTTCTGGGAAAACAATATTGGTTTTGTTTAGTACCAGAATATCAGTGTTGTATAACCATTTTCAGCATTGGTCTGCATTATCCAATGTCCAAGATGATGCCACATTGATGCTACATCATTGCACCGTTGGCAGCAATGGGCTGTTTTCTGAGATGACATTGAATTTGACGTTTCTTTAAACCACATTTTCTTGATTTCCAAGGCATGGTCTGGAGCAACATTTTTTGTTTGGATAAACGATGCCAAATAAGAGGTCATTTTCTGAAGCACCGCTTTTTTTGATGTGGTGTCATTTTCTCAGAAAACGGCATCGATGTCAAACACAACCTTAGTTTTTTTTTTTGGTTTTGGTTGGAATGGGAGGAGGCACCTAGGCACAAAATAGCCACTCAGAGCTCTAAGCCCTGTTCCTTTCCTGGAATTATGGGGGAAGTCGAAAATGGGGTTGTGTTTCTCATTAACCGATTTTTTTATGTTCTTTTTTGTGGATTTGGGTCAGACCTTTGGAAAAGTCATTTTCCTTAGGTATCACTTAATCGGGCATGTGATATTCATCTCTTAGGTGGGTAGGTAACTTTTTCAATTGGAGGAAAATTGTTACTACATGATGGGATAATATTGCCCCTTATAATTCTCTCTTTTTATGGGTAAAATGGTTATTGTTTTATTAAATGCATGTACTGGAATAAATGGCCGAAAGAAAAATGAACAAGGCCTAAGATGACAAGATATAAGGGGACTTGCATCCCCACATTGCTCATGAATCAATTTGAATCCACAATGACCACATAACAAGGGGCCTTGGCATCTTGGTCAATTTGAATCTAGAATGATCATGAATCAGTTTGTACATTTATTGGCCATATAATTGAAAACAACATTCCAGGCTAACATGAATCAAATTTAAATTTAAGGTATGCTTTAGTGCTTTACCATAATCATATTTAATGTGTTTTGGTAAATTAAGAACTATTTTTTCAACTGATGTATTATTAGTGAAATTATTGTATGATCTCTACTTGGTTTTATGTAGGGGGTGGCTACAAGCTGAGCTTTTTATGAGTTTTTTGAGCTTGAGCCCAATATATAGGCTCATTTGCTAATCGAGCCAAGTTTGAGTCTAGTGAAGCTTGGCTCGTAAGGCTCACGAGCCTAATCGAGCCTAGTATAATAAATAAATAATTTTTATTTTATACATACATATATACATACATACATACATACATACATAATAAATAATTTTTATTATATATAATAATAATTTTTATATATTATATTTTTACTTTTTATGTATAATAGTAAATAATTTTTATAATTCTTAATTTTTTCTATGTAAAATAAAAAATATTTTTATTTGTATAATTGTTATTTTTTAGAAAAAGATTTGCTTGCGGTCGAGCTCGAACTTGTGAGCTTTTGAACCAAGTCAAGCTCAAGCTTGAATCGAGCTTGAGCCTAACACTATTTCTGTGTGACAAGTTCGAATAGCCATTTGGCTCTAGCTCGACTTGACTTGAATCCACCCCTAATTTTATGCACCTTCAATATTAATTTTCTTTTTCTGTACTAATACTTTTACCCTTGTCCCTTCTAAATTCTCTAATTGTTTGCTGTCATCTTTAATTTTATTGGTTCATAGACCAATTGAGTTGCTGAAAATAGCTGATCAATCTTAGGGTCCGTTTGGTTTGCATTTGGAATTGGAATTAGAATCTGAATTTGAACCAAAATTTTTCAGAATCGGAATCGGAATGATCTATTCCCATAATCTGTTTGATTCAGATAAGAATGAGAATATGAATTGGAATCAACGGAAATGAGATTTCATTCCCAAGGAAAAAAAGGGAATGACCATTCCCTCAAATGGGAGAATGTCATTCCAATAGGAATGGGAATGGAATTTCGATTCCACCCAACCAAACAGTTAGAATCGGAATAACCCATTCCGATTCCAATTCTGAACCCCTATTCTTGCAAACCACACGGGGCCTTAGACATTCGAGATGAGTATAGTTGAGAATTATATACGGTGAAAGTGTGACACTAAGCGGGTGGCTCATGCATTTAGGGCAACACCCTTCGAAATTTTATTCAACATTTATGTGGTTCAGTCATCACTTGAATTTGCTCTACCCAAAAATAGTTTATTTATTTTTCACCGATAATTGAGTTGAATGGAATGAACCTAATTATTTTTCAAAAAGAGGAAGAGGAAGAGAAAGAAGAAAGTGAGAAGTTGGCACTCCTGCCGTCGTTGATCCCTGTTTTCTTATAATCGTGATTTCTTCTTTATCAAGGGTCTTCTTCTTATGATCAGTAAAGAGCATTGATTCGAGAAGCATAATCAAAGGGGGGTGGGGGGTTCCTACACGTCTCTCATGTTAAGAGGCCAACAATTATTCCTTCATCAGTCTAGACTCCTGACTGGGTCACACCATTGAAATCAATGTTTTAAAAACCGAAACTGAAATTGCTTTGGCCATTAGTTTCTAAGTTAGTGGTTTGACCATCTGTCCGAATGTATGGCTGGTTGTGGTTTTAAAATAAAAATGGTTAAAGACCATTGTTTGGGTCAAATGAATTAGCAGCTTGACTGTTCAAGTCAGTGGGTCACAGGTCAACAGTTTTTTATAAAAGAACAGTTTAGGGGTGAAAGGAAACTAGTTGCCTAAATAACCTCTGGGTTGAACGGTTTCACTGTCCAGGCCAATGATAATTCAGAAACTATAATTAAAATTGAATAGGCCAAGAGTACATGGACTGAGGCAGTCAAATACCAAAGCGATCCTCAATGTGATGGCAAATCTGAGACTCAGATTGATTGCATCATCTCTTAACACAGTTGTTATATGAGAATTCTGTTAGAAAATTCACCATGTGATTAGAAAACTGTTTCTGTTAAAGATGGGGCCAAGGGCAACAAGGTAACTTCGCTGATGTCTGATGCGGATGGATCCAACCTGCAAACAGGAGAAGGGAACACGTCAGAATCCCCAATTGTTATCTCAGGAGTAGAGAGTCCGGCTGTCAAGTTAATCAAGTGCTAAAGAGAAGTTTGACTAGGCTTGAGACGAGGGCTCAGAGCTTAGTTCTTAAGAGCTCAGAAGTGGTCTCTCGAGATAATAAGATGAATTTACTTTGAGCTGGGTACCTCCTTTTATAACTGACTGATTTGAGGCAGTTAGAGATGGACAACCAGGATCCTATCCGGCCGATGCCACGTGGTGCAATCCGAGGCCTACCATGTGGGCTACATCAAAAACCATTTCCCATACAACAGTAACAAACAAAGAAAGGGTCTGGATTCTAGAGGGACTTTGATCATCGAGTTTAATGGTTCTGTAGTAACTAGTAATAAGGTTTCTGCAATTGAAAATTGAAAACAAAATGATGCATTTGAAGAAAAACTTATTCATCATGAAGTCACTAAAGACTTGTTCAAATCTGCTCAAGAAAAATACCAATGGATATCTAGTTACATTAATTTTTGTGACATTGTATGTATTCGCAATTGTGGGAAAGCGGACTCAAGTATCAGATCGGCGGTGGGTCGGCCATACCCGACAGACCCGAACTTAACTAACCCAGTTATTTAGGATCTGATTCTGAATTACTGTGTCCCATCAAGAAATTATAATTGGTTTATGATTGGTCTTGATTGTTTTGAATCGGTTAAAGCCTGAACCTGCTGTAAATATATAATTATGTATATGTGTGCATATTACAAAAGGTATCCTTAGTCTAAGATCTATTTTTCTCATGATATATTTGTAATATTATTATATTATGATGTCCTAATATGTTAATTTAACAAATAAGCAGGTTATTGTTTTAGTAAAGGTTAGTAGAACTATATATTGATAATTCCCCTTGGGCCCTTACATATATATGTTTCATGGACATATGCGGTAGATCCATGCTTTGTTAGGTTTTGTTCTTCCCTTTTGTCTATAGAAAACGATTAAAATTATAGCTCTCAATTATAATCAGTCTCTTATCAGGTCAGACCTGATAGACCCAATTACAGACTCTATAGGTCTGGTTCTGAACTGATTCTACACATTTACTCATTGGATGGACTGGGACCAGGTATGTGTGTATGTATATATATAAATCAAAGTTCTTTATTCAGTTTATCTCTTCCAAGAGTGACCACAATTTGAGCCAGGAATCAGATTTTAGATAGGGGTGCAACTTGAGAGGGCTCAGGTTGAGAATTTGTCAATGCTTGTATCCCGGCCCAAAAACCTGGGTCCAATATACTGCATATTCTTCAATTCGGTTACCTCACTTTCACCCATAAATTTAGTATGGTAATTTCCATTGTTTTGAGGGATTTGGGGAGGAAATATTCCTTAACCCCTTTGTGTGCAAAAAACACTTCCCCTCTCACTTTGTTTTGTTTTCTATACATGACACCTCAAAGGGCCACACAAATAGACTGAAAATTCCCCCCTCAAGTCTCAATAAATCAAACTATTGATTTTATCAAAGAAATTTCTTAATTAATTAATTGTATTAGTTAATTTTAGATTAAATAGTAGATATGGAGGAAGGTATAGTATATGGTT